CAATGCTGTTAGGCCATACTTAAGTGTGCTACTATGCTAAATCTGCTTTCTCTTACGCAATTTTCTCTTAGTTATTACTACTAATTGCTCTTCAAGCTCTCGCACATAGGCCTTAATAAGGATATTTTTGTATAGTATCTCTTTAGCCCCTTTTATAAGCTTTAAGAATCCTTCTTATACTATACTTAGTAATTTTTAGAAGGAGTTACTTATAAGCTTAGATTAAGACCTAAACATGTGTGTATTGCTTAGTATCTTAGATTACTACAGCGTTTTAGGTAGAGGTAATGCTAGTAGGGTATGCAGCTGCACTTTAAGGCAATCTAACACTACCTGCATGTTAGTAGGAATAAGCCCTAATACCTTAAAGGCCTTTTAGTAGTTAACCTTTGTAAATTTATTAAGGAATACATCCCTAAAGGCTAGTAGGAAGCCTTCCTTGTTAATATAGAAGATATATTAGTATACTAAGTCTTAAACTTGTTAGGAGTACTTACACTTTAATAGCAAGAAATAGATAATATTAGGTAGCTAGAGAATATATAATAAGTAAGGTAGTATATAGAGAGTAAGGATTTAGTTCTCTAGGTAATAGTCCTTAAACTCCTAGTTAAGATAGCTCTTATAGCTGTCTAAGATAAGCAACCTATACACTCCTACCTAACACGTCTTTATATACGTGTTAAAGTACTTTAACTACTTAAGGCTAAGTATATTATTTATCTAACTATTCTTAGAGACTAAGAGCTTCTAATTATAGGGTATATCTATCTCCTTATACTAGGCAGAGATGTAGACGCGTCCTTTGTAGATAATAAAAGGTGGGGTTGCATACCTATTAGCGCAGATGCTCTAGATAACAGTAACCCACTTGCGATTACCTGGCTGAACAAGCTCTGGCTAAGCACGTCTCTCTAAGCCTGTTACAACCTTAAAAGACAAAGCACTACCTATCTAGAACCTAGTTTTATTAAAGTTGTGCATATTATTATTATAAATGCTATACTTAACTTAAGTATCCTCTACTAGCTTAAACTACATACTAATTATCTTAGGATCTTCCTGTAGTATCCTCTGTCTATCCTTAGCTTAATTAAAGGCTATTTTAAGCTTGTCTAAACGCGTCACAAGCCTGCTAGCCTATAGTTTGCTAACAGGCTCTTCACTACGCACACTAAGTATCTTATTAGCTATATCTACCACCTTACATAGCTAGGGCGCAAATCCTTGCGAATTAAGGTTAAGTATATACTAGACAATTGTCTGCTCCTCTAGTATAGTAAGTTTCTAGCAATTAGCATGTATGTCTAGTTAAAACGTGATATTGTAAAGGTAATTAGAGACCTGCTAATAAGGTACATTTAACGCTCTAGCAGCACTGCAGATAATGCAAAATTAGCTAGCATAGAAGGCCTAGATAGCAAGGATAACTCTGCCTTCTCTAGTAGTAATCTAAAGTTGTTGTTATTAAGGCATGTTGTATTAGGGTAAAAGGTGGTTGTGCTAATAGAAAGTGGCTGGTTTGGTGATATGGCTGGCTCGGTGATAATCTACGTTATACAAAATAGTTTAGAAAACAAAGCTAAAGGTTTAATACATGCAACTAATAGGCTGTAAAGCGTATGTCCTTAATTAGTTGCTTAAATGCGCAGACAAGCTTAAATTAAGAGCGCTTATAGGCTACCTTCATCGGGAAAAGTTTTTCGAAATCCGGCCCAGACTGGCTGTTGCTGACAGTTGTGACATGGTCATGCAACAGCTGTTCAACAGCCCCAACAGCCCTAATTTGCACCTAACAGCCCTAATTTTGCGCTAATATTGCTAATAGCTAAAATACTAAGTGCCTATATTTTATAAACTTAAAATAATATTGCAATATTCTTACATAGCTACCCTTAGTTCTACTAGCACTAGCATTAAATATTTAAAAATTGCGAAATTTCACGCATAGGTAGACCAGAATTGTAGCTTTAAAATAAGCAATAAATTATTACTATAGGCCTACTGCAACGCAAGTTATAGAGTGTTGAAGGATTGTTTATTAAAGGTTTGTGTTTTGAAGTTGCGACAGCACACCATAGCAGCTGTAGCTGCGCCAGCACACAATGTATCAGCTGCAGCTGCAACAGCACACAGCATAGCACCTGCTAGCAAACACACACACAAACACACACACAAAACAGCAGCGCAACAGGAGCTTGCAAAACAGGCAGTCCTAGGTATAAAATTCTTAGTTTACCTACTATTCTTAAATAATATTCTTGTATTTTCTAATGTTTAGGCTGCTAGAGCCCTAGCAAAGAATCTTAACTTAGTGTCTTAGTAAGGAATATTAAGCTTAGAACCTTCTACGCTTAATAACTTTTCTATTAATAGGCCTATAATATTGTTTAATAGCTTATTTTAAAGAGTAGACTTAGTAGTATATTAAAATAATAAAAGTATAGTTTATTAAGTAGAGCTACTATTAAAACAGGATTAGTAGTTGTTATAGCTATTATAGCTATTAAGACTATTAGAGCTGTTAGCTTAAAATTAGCTAGACATTAAATACACATTAAATAACTATTGTAGGCCTACAAGTCCTACTGTTGCCTACAGTACAATGCAACAATTCCTAATTTTGACAATGGAAAAATTTTTCCCAATGTTGTTAGCTATAACTTAACTAACATCTTTAGGATCTAGCTTCCTACTAAGGACTAGATTATACTCACATAAGATATTGTCTTTAAACGTACAAAGTTCTACAAAGGACTACAAGGATATACTTATAAATTAGTAATTATAGAAGTTATTAAGCTTCTAGCATTTCTAAAGGAGCTTAAGCCTAATAATATAGCAATAGAAGATCTTTTAATAACTTAACAACACTATTAATAGCAGCCTGCTCACGCATCTGTGCTTACAGAATCTTAGATAGGGGGTGAAGTAGGCTGGCGGATGGGTAGGGTAGGGTAGGGTATAGGTATAGTCACGTGATTTATGGGTAGGAACTAGGTAGGGTACATGAGGTACCCTACCCAAACCGTTTGGGTAGGGTAGCACGTGACTGGGTATAGGTATAGGTAGGGTAGCACGTGACTAGGTATAGGTATAGGTAGGGTAGCTAGGTAGGGTCTAGGAATGGGTAGTTATTAGCAAAATCTAGGTTACTACTCTAGACTTTGTACTATTGTATACTTTAGAGCATAAGTATGTGATAATAGACTGTGATAATAAATTATAGATGCTTTTTCTTCT